TTTGGTGGAGAAGAGCGGGAAATACCGTAAGGTATATTTGTGAGCGAGGACCTGATTCCGCAAACGTTAGGAAGCTCTGGAGATAAAGCTTCGGTTAATTGGCTGTTTTCACTGCCATCCAGAATCGAGCTGAGTCATAACCGAACACTGCATAGCATCTTGGATTGACCTTTGAACACAGAGTACTAACAAGATTTTGTTAGCACTGCCGGCACAATGTTTTGTTTGCTTGAGTAAAAAGGAGGGAATCAACACAATTATGGTCATTTTGAGTTTAGTTTTAGTAAACGTTTTACTGCACTTGCAACACAATACGGTCTAATAAGTGCCGACGATTAAAGAAAGGAGCTACAAGAGAAAAACAAACACGCGCACACACAAAAAATAAAGAAGAAATAAGGACGATAGATCGTTGATAGGAAAGAAGGAGCTAATCATAACAGAGCATCCGCCAACCATCCACCATAATGTTTTGTTTGCTGAAGCAAGAAAAAGGAAATCAGCACAATTACGACTATTTAAAGTACAAAAAAAGGAAACGTAGACATACAGACAGAAACAACACAGGAAAAGAAACGGAGCAGCCAGTGAGTGCCACCCTTCAACCATCATTTTTTTGGGGTAAGTGTTCTAGTTGCGAGCCCCATAAAACACTTTAACAAAAACAAAAAAACAAAAACAAAAACCAAAAAAAACCCCCCATCAGCGTGTATTGTTTACAGATGTAGAGATGACACGGTGACTTACAATACATGACGAATTTATTATTTTTGTATACGAAAAGAGACGCACATCAATACCACAACGGTCATTTTTATGCTGGTGGAAAAATCACAAAAATCACTCAGACATACAGAGACAAAGAGAGTCAAGACCTACCAACGACGGATTTCGAGCACCCCCTTCGAGCGGCATGTCCATCCTCAGGCCAGTTACAAGAAACAATCATCTATACGTTTTTTTTCTATTTTTAGAATCAACCTTGAATCCGGGTTCGTTTTTTTCTGTTTTTTTTTTTTAAAGCTTTAATAAGAGTGTTACAGCACTAAAAATAAGTCATATAAATGCTAAAGATCATATTATATTTTACTAGGGAGTAAAATATAAGGAAAATAAAGAGGAGACATCAGATCAACAAATGTTTGAAAGAAATAGAAGAAGCACATCAAAGTACCGCCAACCACCCAGTAATACTATTTACTCAAAAGGACGAACATGTATAATCATGAATACCTTCTCTTTCTCTTCCGGTCAGCAACTAAAGCATGTCACCGTCCTATCAGAGCCTGAGCCGTTATTAATTAACGTTGACCACTCATAGGTCAAGGCCACAGGAACTGAATATATTAAATCGCATCCAATGGCCCAGGCTGAGAGGCAATTTGGCGCCAACTCGCCGGTGCAACGAGACAGAAAATGATATGTAGAGCAGAGACCAGGACTCAAAAATTAGCCCGAGACTTGGACAAAGACCTAATTAGGGGGCAGGAAAACTGAGCGCGTGCCAGCTAATTTTTGGATAAATTGTCCAGGAGAAGCTATCGCGCTCTGCCAAATGGGGGTGAAATTGAAAAAGAAATGAAGGCGCATTTGCAAACACAAGTAATCATAACACGAAAGAGAAAAGATGGAACGCCAGTCAATCCGAGAGCAGATAGGTTGGAAGGGGATTTGGCTGAGGAGATTTTTTTTTTTAAAGGAGGGTGAGGTGGATTGAACAAGAGGGCAGAGGAAAGAGAACAGTAGTTTTACAAGGATACATGGAGAGATGGGGGTAGTGAGTGGTGGTGATGAATGGAGCAAAATGAAATGAAAACGAGATGATGAATTCTTTTGTGTGTTAAAGTACAGAGGGTCAAGCAGTCCTTTCTAGAATACAACAATCATGTCCATGGGCTTCTTTTACTGATGCAACATGGCAATGGGTACAGTTGAGAGCGAATGATATGAAGGGTTAGGATGTCAGTTTTTAAATAAAGAAAGAGTTAAGCTATCTAAAAGGTAAAAGAAAGACGAACATTCTAGAGAAGAAAATGCAAGGAAGGGATGGGGTGGGGGTGGGGTTGGTATATGACAAAGATTGACAAACAAAGAGAAGTTTTTACCTTAAATTGATCTTATTAGTTGTGTGGACGCAGAGGAGATTTCCCTTCGGTTTTTGTTTTTGTGGTGTTTTCTTTTTGGGACTAACAGAGAAAACAGAGAACATGAAAAGGAGTGGGGTTCTTTTTCTTCTTTTGGGGG